AATAGCAGCGATATCAAACGTAGAGACGAAGGCGCTGATGTTGGACAATCATCGGCTGAATTTGTTCATCGGACCGATATCTGGGAAAAAACACACTGATATCGGCCGATACCGACGTGGTCGCCGATATATCCTGCGTCCCTAACTGTGATTTACTTCAGTGTTTTTATTTCATACAACTTTAACTGAAGCTGAAGTACATTTTCATTTGTTTAACACATCTAGTTGTTACATACAAATCATTCAATAAATCCACCTTATAAAATACAAGAAGGTGATTAAGATGAAACACTCCATCAGGACATTTATGAGTTCTGATGGCTGGTTAGAGCCACTCAGGCTGGAGCTGTGCAAAGATATTTACACAAGATCTCCATCTTTATACGAGTGTGAGCTGTTTCACAGGGAAAGCCGACAGAAGAACATTTTATCTATGGAAACACATCCATGGACGTAGATTCAACCACAGTCAGTTACAGCCTCCGCCAGCAGAGCAGCTGTGATCACAGCCACGGCTCCACCTTTTAAACAGTCATAAATGCATCATGTGAAGTGCCACAGCAGCTCTCCTTTCTGCCCTGATGATAACCGGACTGCCCCAAACGGAGCATAAAGCCATGAAGAACTTGTTGTGTTTGCTGCTGTTGCCGGTTGAAAGTTTCGAGGCTGTTTAATCCGTGACCACCGCTGCTGGGTGTGGTCAGTACAGGTGCTGGTACACCTGTGGCTGCACCCAGCAGGGATGGTAAAGGTCAGCATGGCTGTACGCTGCTGTAGCACAGTGGGAGGTTGAACTGCTGGAGGTCAGCAAAACTGGTGTAAGAGGCCATTTGGATGACTTCTCAGTTTAATACTTCAAGTATATTTTCCACTTATACTTTTACTTTTAGCTCCCTGGAGTTTGAATGCAGGGTTTCCACTTGTTTTACTATCAACAGAGCCCTGCAGGGATCAGTGCAGTCCTCACCTGTGACCAAGAAGTCGGTGAAGATGAGGAGGCAGCAGCAGCAGAAGCTGACGGGACTGGAGGAGGCAGCCAGCGAGGGCAGGAACAGGAGGCTGCAGGCCAGCTTACATGAACACAACAGCGCTGCTCCTTCCAACACGCCGTCCATGGCTGCAACAAAACAACACACACAAGGCAGCCAATCATGAAACAGGTTCTCTTTTTGCCCCGGGGTAACAGCGCTCAGGAATGCCCTGCTGACAGTAAAGCCCCCCACCCTAAACAACAGTAAACACTCCTTATAAACTCACATTAATGTTTGACACAATCATCCCTCTTCCAGTAGCGTTTGTGCCTCGTGGGTCCAGATCAATACTTGGTTGTGTACATTAGTACTGAACCCTGGACCAGACAGTTGTGTACAGGAGGTCAGAATGAAGAAGCTCAGGATACGTCTGCGTGCACCAACATGCATCATTTTGTATTTCATTTCTACAAATCATATTTAAAACGTGCCACCAATGAGCCAAACCACCGAACACTGAGAGCTCAGACGCTGTTGACGTGACCTGACTGCAAATATGACCATGACACTGAATGATCGGACCGGTCCGACCTGTTAGAACATTCCCACCGTCTCCATTACAAACAGCATGCAGCAGAAAGACGCTAAACATGGATGTTGTTTATGAAGTTCATCAGTTCTTACCTGAGCTCACAGGAGCCTCCAGAGCAGCATGTCAGTATGAGCTTCAAATGCTTCATCCGCTTTCTTCACCTCCCCCTTCGCTCCACCCTCACGGGGATAATGACCCTCCCTCCTCCCCCCTCGCCTCCCCCGTGCACCTGGCCTGGGGAGGTGAGACGACATGTGCATCTCAGAGGGTGTGGCCCTGTTTGTACAGACAAGAAAACCAGTCCAGCAGCTAGCTCGCTAACAGTGACGGATGCAAAGTGCACAAAGAGAAACCTGTTGACAGTAGCAACAGACACACTGGATGGAAGATGAATGATTCTCAGCACCAATGTGCAAACATGTCTGCGTTATGTTGGGATTGTTGTTTTGTGAAGGCGCTGCTAGCTTAGCATTGACATCATTTAATGTGCATTAATGCATGAGTTGAAAGGGAACGAGGTTCAGGCATCAGTCCCAGCAGGCCCTGAAGGACTGAACGCATGAAGCCTGTGACAGGTCAGATAGAAGGAATGCAGCATCTCACACACACACACACACACACACACACACACACACATGCTTGTGCTCTGATGAAGATGTGTTACCAAACTATCCACACCGGCTGGTACATCTCGTACCTCTGCTTTGTTGAGGCTGTTTTACAGCCTCCCTATAAGACATCAGCACATAGCAGCTAACAAAGGAAAGGTATTGGCAGCCAGAGAGCAGGAAACACTAGCAGGAGGTTCTCTTAACAGGGTACGGATGCTGTGGATTGGACCAATCGTGTGCCAAGAGATCTGGACGTATCTGTGAGAAGGCAGAACTACGTCTAAACCAGGCTTCTCTCTAACCATGCAGCCAATCACACTGCACGATTACAATTAAATGTCTGTGTTCAGTAGCCATCATCAGTGACACCCAACTTATCCAGAGGACAGCCTGCTGTTTCAGAGGTTACAGTAAATACAACCGGGATCTCTCATAACCGAGGACTCTTCTAAAGTAGGATGAGACGGCAAACACACATATTAGGTATAGAGATATGATTGATTTGTGCTTTCCTATATTTGAATCTGTTGTTCTCGTTTATGAACCACAGGTGACTGTTTCTAGTTTCCTGTTAGCGACTGGATGGTCCCGTTGACCCAACAGAGGGTACCATCTATCTGTTAGGCTCTCCAGGGAGGAACTGCCTCGCTGCTCTCTGGTTACATCCAAACACACCACTAGTGATGCTGAGGACCGGTTCCTGGAGCTTTAGTGGTATCTCATGTTCAAACTCAGGAGATCTGGATTTTAATAGATCTGAGGGCACCTGTCCGTGATCATACAGTCATGAAACTGAACTTTAAAGCCAGCGAGGATGAGGAGTCAGAAACATGGAAATCTGAGCATTTGCATATCTGTGGCGAGGCAAATTTAAACTGCTGTGGAAGATCATGTGTTACCATCAATAACACGTCCTGTATGTTCTTTATTTTTTCCTCTACGCAGGTTTCTCCTGAATAAAAGATCTCAGTGATAAAGTTTATTTAAATACAGCCTGAGAGCAGCTGTTTACCAGCATCCAGCGGAGCCTCATAGACGGACACGTTGTACTCATAGAAAACCTACACATCATGTTTTCTGTACGTGTTTTAGGGACTTATTTCTCTACAGTGCTTCAGATTTTGCAGATGTTTGTCTGAATTTTGTAAAACCATGTTTCTATGGTTTATGGAGGCCTTCATGGACGCTTCATCGGACCACGTTGAAGCTCTAAAGAAACCGCAGCAGAGATCCGCCTCTTGAAACCAAAGTTCAATTAAATGATGGGGAAAAAACCAACATGTTAATAGTGTCTGAAGAGGAGTGAATCGACTGTGTTGGATGTGTAGTGGACTTATATTTTATCATTATTTCATGACAAAGCTTTAAAGATCTTACAGGTGGTCACTGGTCGCTGCTCATGGTTCTGTTTCAGCCGAACTTCTAGCTTCTAGCTTCTAGCTGTAGCTGTAGATGTAGCTGTAGATGTGTAGTGAAGCAGCAGCAGATGAGATGGTCTCTGCTGTGCCTCTGTGACTATCAGCAGTCACTTCGTTTGTCTGACTCACGCCGTGGACACGAGACGGAGCTCGCTGGAGTTTTGCATGTTAAACATCAAATTTGAATGTGTTTAAGTGTGTGTGTGTGTGTGTGTGTGTGTGTGTGTGTGTGTGTGTGTGTGTGTGTGTGTGTGTGTTTGTGGAGCAAAGCCACCATGTTGAGCTGCGACAGTAACCGACACTCATGAATGAACTTCACAATCCTTTAAGAAGCATTTGACTTCAGGGTGGAAGTGGTGTTTGTGCAGCCCAACGGGCCCGTGGACTGTTTGGGCCGATGACAGGACGGCTGTTTGGCTGATAATCATCCAGATATGATGAGGAGCTGATGGCGTGCTTCACTCAGCTGCTGGTTCGTTACACCAGATAAAACCAATACGGTAATAAATCCTGGCTTAGAGAGCTGCTGATTCACCTGCAGGCTCATTATGGAGGCTCTCGTTTGTGTTGCTGCTGAACTGGAGGCTTAATATTCACTCGTTTACTGAAACAGACGAAGACTCAGGAGTCATCCTGCTGCATGGAGCGATTCAACAAGTAGACGACAAAGACAGAGAAACTACTGCTGCTGTTGGCATCCTGAAGTGTTTAAATGCTTTTAAATGATTCATAAAAACGCTCTCACTGATCTGGATGTTCTGGGTTCCACAGTAACAGCTCTAAAACAATTAGACGATAGAGAATGTCACATTTTCAGGAGCTGTGTGGTCAGTGATGCCCCCTGTCCTCCTGTGAAGTCATGGCTGCTTCCTGAACATCTCCTGAGCTTCAGTGAGGAACCCATGAGGGCTGAAGCTCTGAGCTGAGGCAGCAGTGCCATCTCCTGCTGCCTGCTGAGGAAGCACGCAGCATATTAGCAGCCTGGTGCTGCTGAGAGGATTACTCTTCATATCTACTGTACATGACGCTCTGGCTGCATGGACACCAGATATTTAAAAATTAAATTAAATAAAATAAAAAATAAAATCAAGAGGACACGTGCATGCAACAAACTCCCGCCGCCACATCCACGCAATTCTGCCTCCGTCACCACAAACTGCGTGTTTTTATTTTAAACGTGTTTATTTCAGATTATTTTGGGTGCTTTTGGACGTGAGGGGCAGTGAGCTGTACGCAGGCGTTCAGAAATCACCTCCACAACAGGACGCCGTTAAACACCAGATCCACGTGCACACGGATTTTGCGCGCACACCACAAAACATCTGCACGCGGAGAAAAAAAAAAAAAAAAAAAAGGAGAAAAAAAATCTCCATCGTTCAAACTGGAGGCTCAGAAAATGGGTTAAAGAACCGGTTCCAGCGCTGCGTGTTCACACCGAACGCTTCCTTCGCCTGCAGCACCCAGAAGTGAACAGCAGGCGACCCGGAAGGTTTGAAGTCCGACTGAGAGCGAGCGGAGAGAAGAGTCCAATCCTTTATTTAAAAAAAGAGAAAAGAAAGAAAGAAAGAAAAGCAGCGGGTTGTGCTGGTGTCGGTGCTGGTTCAGGTAGGTTCTGCTCTCGGTGCTACCGCTCCGCCCGGTTCTGCTCTTTTCTCTCCTCGCAGCTCGTCCGCGGAGCTTCGTTTCCATTGAAGTCGAGCAAAAGTTGCAATTAAAAGCAGCAAAGCAGCAAAGCAGCAAAGCAGCAGCAGCCGCTCCGCCGCTTCGTGGCCTCGGAGCTTCTAAAAGCTTCCAGCGGGCGACAGGCGGCCGATGGACGCTGGACCTCCGGCTCCGCAGCTGCTCACAGCGACGGCAGGATGGCTGCTGTAGGAAGTGTCAGGGCTTTTTTTCTGCTCTCGCTGCTCGAGCCGGGCTATTCAAACCTGCAAATCAAAGTAAACAATCATTCGTACGCTTAATGCAAATATGGGACACGCGGCCGCGGCGCGGCGCGTCCAGGACGCAGCGCCGCTTTATCTGCTCACAATATTCGGATCTGCAGAATATGGCGTCCAGTGCTTATAAAAATAAGACAGGGCTGCCATTTTTGTTTTCCTTTTGTCTGAAATTTTTTAATAAACTGTCTGAGAATGTGGGAGAGGCGGCGGACGGACGGACGCGGCGCTGCGGACGAGACGTTTTCTGGATCCTGTTTTCCTGAAAGCTGCTCAGGTTCGGATCGAAAAAATCCGCTTTCTGCCTCTTTGGGTTCGTTACGGAGGTTTAATTCAGCACAGAGGCTCTGAAAAAAGGGAAAAGTTGAGCTCAAGTTTGTTTCTGGAGATGACGGGTTTCATGAGAGAGACGGTCTGTGAGGGGATCAGAACCAGTTTGGGTCGGAACAGGATGTGAACATTAGTGAGGTACCACCTGAACCACCAACCAGCTGTTTGATTAGCAGCATATTAGCACATATGACTGGATAGCTCTGCTCAGGTGTCATTATTAATCACATGATTCCTCATCATTACCACTAAACCTGATCAATAATTCATTTATAGATAATTAGTCATTAATAAGGTCTCTGTCCTTTCTATTCTAGAGACAATGTTTATCATATTCTGCTCTTATTAATTGTGGTAATTCATCAGTCAGTACATCCTTGTTTTGGTTTATTTCTTATTTACAACCAGACGCTGATGATCATCAGCTGATCTGATGTCATTTAGTTCAACTTAAACCTGAAAGATGCCCAAAAATATTAATGTGTTACAGATGCTACAAACAAAACCTGCCGTCGGTGATAAAATGCAGTTTTTCTAATCATCCACTTCAAGACGTATGAATACAACCAGTGGTCATGAAGTTAGTCCTTAAACAGCAGCTTCTTAGACATGAACTCTTACATCAGTTTAATTACTTTATAGTGTTTAAAACTGATGGACTCCAGCCGCCCGCCTCCCCGGTGAGGATTCAGCGGTGTGTATATGATGGATGGATGTTTAAAACTTTGATAAAACAGGACCAGCATTTAGTTTGATGTGCTGCTGATGGAGGTAACAGGAGTGAACCTGAACTAGTCAGACAGGTGATCTTCAGGTTGAACGATTAGTCGATTTCAAATCCAAACTGCAGTCGGCTGCACTGTAGGATAAACGAGATGCAGCACATCTGACCCTGGCTGCTGTCTGGCTGCTGTGCATGAATATGATCCATTCTGTGTTTAAATCTACTGAACTGAAGCTTGGCTTCAAAAAAACATGCTGCAAATCAAACTGCCACGTCTGTCAGAGAGATCACGTTTAGGCAAATGATTGTCCTCAAATTCTTCTCCCCAAGTTGAACGACAGCAGATCAGTTATAAAACTATTCAGATTGTCACTTCATTATTCAGTCATGTTTTAAGCTAAACTATTGTCTAGTTCCAGCTTCTTACACTTTGATGCTCTCTCTGTGGTTGTGATGTGATGCTGGATCTGTGGGAAACCATCATTTTCTCTGTTTCCTGATATTTTACATCCAGATGAATCAAGAGGGCGCTCTGCAGGTTGACTGATAATGACAATAATCGTGCACCTCTAAACAGTAAACAGAAATCTCCTCGTGTACAGAACTCTCTAACGCACCTGCTTCAGACCGACTGGACGCACAAATCTTGTTCCTACCTGCTGGAAATAATCCTACAGCCTGAAAGCAGCCCTTAAATACGTACAAACAGCTCAGCCGGGACTCTACAGGTTGCAAACACTGACCGCTGACTGGAAGGCCTTCAGCAGATCTGAGGAGAACACACAGCAGCAGATTGTTTCCTCAGCGTCACCTCAGAAAGTGACACAAAGACGTCCAGCAGCAGTCAGACTCCTAAACCTGCTCCCTCGAGGCCCAAAGCTTCCAGGAAGTGAAAGCGATCCCCGCTGGCATCATTAGAGAAATATTTTGCGGGGTGTACTGTACGCTCGTACCCCTGCACGGATCGGGTTTGTTGCTCTTGGCTCCGGGACGGGGACTGTGTTATGCCTCCGCTAAGCCAAACAGACTCAGGAATGGTGAAGTGTGCCAAAGCATGCAATGCAAAATGTTTTAAAAAGAACTTCATACGGCCTGAAAAGAGAAGTTATGGAAAGAAAGGCCTTCAGATCACGACTAGAACAGTCAGTAACTCTCCGTCTGCATTAGAAATGAGAAACGCTTTGATCCGTCCAACACGGCAGCTAGACGCTTATTTTATAGAAGACTTGAGGCTCTCTTTGGGCTTCACTGCCAGTCAGAGGTTAAAGAAAAACACATACAATGAACCGCTGTGTCACTTACTGATGGTGTTGTTTCTGTGCAGCATCTTCATCAAAGTTATTCCGTGTTTGGGCTGATTCCTGACCTCTGGCTGCTTCATGCAGGTGCTGCTCTGCTCTGGAGTAAGACTGAAGGTTGGTCCTGTTGCCCACCAGACTCTGGGCCCCATGTGTCAGGGACAGATTAGGATCTGAGCACATCACATTGAAACAGCTCTGTTTTCTCTGATAACTCTTTTGGAGGTTTCTCCCCACTATCTGTCAGGCAGCATGCCCATCATGTGGACGTGGTGGTTGGAAATCCTCAGAAACAGCCACCGGACGCACTCACAGAATGATCAGTGACGAGGAAACAAGATCTGGCTTTGCTCTGTTGGGGAGGCAGGAGAACTAATACAGAACATAAAAATAACAAAAGCTCCATCACAAGACGGAGTAAAAACCTCTCAGATTATCACTTCAGACAGTCAGCTGCTGAGATACTGACGCTGGTCTGTAGCTGCTGTTTCCTGTAACACATGACGGACACGGTTCAGGATTATCTCAGTAACCTGGAGTGAACACGGCTCGCATCATGACCACCAGAGAACAGCAGGGAAAAAACAAAACCAATGCTTACACTTGTTTTTATTTCATATTTTCTCCTCATCTTTGTTTTTTGCTGAACACAAGAAATCATAAAGAACTCACCGGTGATGGAGTCGCCATGGCTTCCTTTAAGTTTGATGTTCACAGTACGCGTCCTGAGCAGTGTTTGGCTGTCGGAGGAGCTGCCGTCCTTCTGTTTATGACCCTCGTGTGTATTCGTTTATTTCAGGATGGCTGAACCTCGCTTTAACAATCCCTATTTCTGGCCTCCACCTCCTACGATGCCTGGACAGGTGAGTGACTTTGGTATTCTCACTGTTCTCTGTTGACACCAGACCATAAAAATGTTTGTCTTAGAAAAGGGGTTCTAGTGTTTTTTTTTAAAGAAATAGTTTAATATTTGAAGAGCTACTAAGAAGACATCTGTCTGCTAAAGCCAGCAGCTGCTTGAGCTTAGCTTAGCATAAAGACTGAAAACAGGTGGAAAGTGTTAGCCTGTCTCTGGCTAATAGAAGCAAAGCCCATCAGCACCTCTACAGCTTTAACATCTTGCTTGTTTAAACTGTGCAAAATGCTACAAGTGAAGCAGACTGGTTGTGGTTTAACGGCGTTCTGGCTGTGAAACATTCAGACTCTAAACTCTGTGCAGGAAGCTGAGTTCCTCCTCCATCCACAGGCCTGAGGAACGATGTTTTCAGGTGGTCCATCTGTCCGTGTGTCCCTTTCCCTCCCTTGAACATGATTTTCATCACATTTTGGCACAAACGCTGTTTGGCACTCGACGATAAACGGACTCGATCGTGGTGGCCAAAGGTCAAAGGTCACCGCGACCTCACCAAACACGTGATTGGCCGCTCGCATGATGACAAGATTTCTCACAAATGTCTCAAAGGATGAAGTGATGAAGTGATAATGTTTTCTGTCCTAATGGTCCACTTCACTTTATTATCATAACGTTTTGCAAAAACACTTTTCTGCTCAGGGCTGCAGGTGTCTCGGTGGTTAGCACCGTTAGCGCCTCACAGCTAGAAGGTCGCCGGTTGGCGTCCCGGTGAGGACACCCAGGATCTTCCTGCGTGGAGTCTCCATGTTCTCCCCGTGCAGCGTGGGTTCTCTCCGGGTTCTCCGGCTTCCTCCCACAGTCCAGAAACATGCTGAGGTTAATTGGTGATTGTAAATTGTCCGTAGGTGTGAATGTGAGTGTGCTTGGTTGTCTGTCTCTAAGTGTAGCCCTGTGATAGACTGGTTACCTGTCCAGGTGAACCTGCCTTCACCCTGAGTCAGCTGGGATAGGCTCCGCCCCCCATGACCCTGGTGAGGACTAGGGTGTAGAGATGATGGATGGATGGACTTTCCCGCTCATCACTGAAGGCCAGAAGTTAGAAAAGAGGAAGAGATGTTCACCATACTTCACAGTTGCTTAGTTACTGATCAGGTGACACTAGTCTAGGGGTCCAGTTGTGTTGTGGTTGTAGTTTGTCTGTGCTGCTCAGAGAACGATAACACGTCTCTCATCGGTGTTTGATTGGGTTGAGATGTGCTGCTCAGCGACGGCCGAAGCATTGATTCATCGTTACCATAGCGATCGCTGGTGTTGTATGAATGAGGATGGAGACCACAACAATCAGGACAGAACTGTCTGATCAGTGGATAAAACACAATCAGAACAACACTGTGTTGATTCTCAAGAATTGAGAAAGACTCAAGAATTCATGCTTATATAAATAAAACATCTAAATTATCAGCGGTTGATTCTTCAGACTGACCAGATGTGACGTGTTGATGAGCTTTAAAGGTGCTGACGGGCTGCTTGCTTTACTTTTAGACTGATTCAGGTGCTCTCTTTCACTTGTTTTTTACAGAGTTTATGCTAAGCTAAGCTGCTAGCCTTTGCTACACAGTTAGCACACAAAGAGGAGAATGCTATCGGTCCTTAGATCAGCTGCTTTTAACCGATGGTGAGGGGAGATCAAACCTTTAGAACAGTCTTCTGTCGATCAATGTCCTCCTTCACTGATGTTATCAACTAAACCCACAAGACAGACGTGTGTTTATTGGCTCTTAGCTCATCTGAACAGTCGTAACACTTCATACTTATTTTTATTTTAGCATTTGATCTTAAAAGCTGCTTTTGTTTATGTAGGTTGGACAGATTTTATCCTGTACAGAATAGCCAATGCTCATGCTGGTGCTAATGGGGATGCTAATAAATGAAACGAAACGAAACGAAACAGCACTTTGTTAAGAGTCTGTTGCCCCCTGGGGTCCAAACATGAACCTGCAGGGTCGCTGCATTAGTAATTATTGGACTGATCATTTTTCAGGCCTAGAAAACAGCATGATGGGTGAAACACTTTCACATTTTCTTGCCTCTAAAAGTCTTTTTATGTTGAGACAAACCAGTGAAGGGTTATGTGATGATGTGATGATGTGATGATGTGATGTGGGGCTCACAAGCAAATAGGACTTGATTTTAAAAGGCTGGAAGGTAACCACTGGTGTGAATACAGTCATCAGCTCTTGAACGTGTTTTTTATTTAAGTTTGGCTTTAATGTCACGTATCAGCCACTGGAGGGCACCATTTCCTCATAAACTGACACCGACTGAACTGATGATGGCTGTTCTCTTGTCACAAATGTTGTTTCCTGGCTGTCAGCTGGATAACCTAGTCTTGATCAATAAAATCAAGGAGCAGCTGATGGCCGAGAAGATCAGACCGCCGCATCTGCCCCCCGCTTCAGCCCCTTCCCAGCAGCCCCTGCTGGCTCCCCCGAGCCAGGCGGAAGGCGGCCAGCACGGGATGTCCAAAGCTCAGCAGATGCAGGCCCTCCACAGCCACAGCCCGTCTCAGCCCGACATCGCCCTGCACGCCCGCCCCGCCTCCAGCTCCGTCACAGGTACTCCGACCGGAACCAGCAGAGAGCGAGCTGGTTCTGTAATCAAAGCTTTGTATCGCTAGTTGCACTGAACGCCTTGTGAATGATGCAGTAGAACACCTGAGGTAACCACAGAGACAGACAGGCATCCTGTGCACCACGTTCAGACAATAAAATGAACAAACGGCAGTAAAATGTTCTGCATTAGTTGCATCAAGAGTTCCGCTCTGTTGTTTTTGTTCTGCTTTTTCTTGGTTTTACTGTTTTTTCATCTCTGACTCGTCCTTTGCTGCCCCTTGATGCTGTTCAGTGAAAACATGAAGAGTTCATTTATAAAAACAGATAACTCCATTTTTGTAGATTTTCTCAAAACTTTTTTTCTTTTGTTATTTACTTGAGATGATATCAGTCAGACTGAAGCTGAGTGGATCTGACTCAGTAGAAATGACAACAGTAGAGATAACTTAAGTTTGATTGTCTCAGGTAGACGATGGAGCCGTGGGTTTATGAAGGTCTGTGGAGATGGAGGAATCTGTTTCTGCAGATGAACTCTTCATGTTCAGTCGTAGTTCAGGTAAATCTAGAGTGTGTCGTGTGCACTGGTTCTAAAAATGCATCTTTTGGCGTCTCTGTCAGGTCGTATTCTAGGAGACGTAAACTTGAATCTGGACGATAAGGCAGCTATAAAAGCCAGAGGGTTATGGGAGGACTGGCATCTGCGTCAGCTCATCGATCATCCCTCCAGGACCAACCACGTCTCAGGTAACCGCCGTCAGCACGCAGAGGTTGTTATCAGGGACCAGAGACTCTGGACAAAACCACGTAAACACTGATGTACCTCCGTCAGTAGATGATCAGAGTTTTAAGGATCTCGATGGATTTAAACTTGAGTTGTTTTGGTCAAAGTCTCGTCGTGTTGAACTCTGTGTGTCCTGTAGAGGGCGCTGTGTACGAGGTTTGTTGTAATCCTGATGCTGACCTGGTTTTCTCTGAGGTTTGAGGTCATACGGTTCAGGATATTTCTGCCTCTCAGATAACTTTACACTAAATAAACGAATTTTCTGTTAAACTTATAAAAAGTGTTTAATTACAGAGAGAGGTGTCGCTTCTTCCTCCTTCTATGTTTATGACAAATAATCTACTGAACTGATGCACAGCCACATGAGGACAGTTTGCCAGAAACATTCAGGTCCCAGAAAGTGATTCTGTTTTGTCAGACCAGGTCTTCCCACATGTTTAGTGTGAGGTGTTGACAGATTATTGACAGAGAACAGAAGGACAAATGTGCTGCAATAGGATGAAGATGTGAGTGAAATAATGTGACTTAAACCTCTGAACCCTAAAACCCACCAATGGGTTGGTTTTAAAGGCATATATATTTAAAAATCACCAAAATGAAACCGTTTATCAGAACCAGCAGCTGTAAAAAAAAAACAGAAAGATGTTGGATTTGAACTTTCTAGCAGTCGTTTGTGATGTGTGGGTTTGTTCAGGAAAATGAACCAAATATAAGCTTAAAAATGTGAAATTTAATCCAAATTATTTTATTCTACATCTCATTATAAAAACAATGCCAGAACAGCTTGTTTACTCCAAATCGATTACGTAAAAAAGTCAAAACACGATGCAGAAGTTGAAGATGCTGCCCACTTCCTGCGGCCAGACGAGCACAGATGAATGCACACACTTCATATGAGCAACACAACACTGACTTAACAACGTCACCTGATGCAGTGACCTGCAGGAGCAGACCTGCTGCTGCTATCTGATGGGACGAGTACAAACCTGAACGTGCAGAGCAGCCTGTAGGAATGCCCTCTAAGTCTCCCGGTCTGGACCTGGTAGGGAACAGATCTTCTAAAACCTAAACAAGCAGCCAAGAAGAGGTGCAGAAGTCTAGTTTTCTCTCAGGCCACTTACATTTCAATCTAGCTAATGTTTCCCCATGACGCTCAGAATGACTGAATACCTTCAGAGGCAGTCTCCTACTGAAAGTATTCACCATCATTACCATCATCGTTGTCAGGTCACCGTCATGGATCACATCTCAGCAGCTATGCACACAAGAGCAGTCGTGTTGTAATCATTTCAACAGAATCTGAGCTACAGTGGAAGCGTTTCACAACACGGTGTCCCACTGTGGACAGGCCTCATCTGCAGGAATGTGTGCTCATGTCCATGTTAGCTCAGAGCCTTTACCAAGTATTCCTCATTGGATTTGACAGGTGACAAAACAACAACAGAACATACAGTGTCTCAGTGACGTGTTTGTTCCACCGAATGCAACCAGAACAGCTTCAGTCTCTGGAAGGCTTTGATGGTGGAGGTGGAAAAACTGTTCAACATGTCGGTCTGAATGTCCAACGGGGGTTCAGTCGGGCTGAGATCTGGTGAATGTGAAGCCTCAACATCGCTTTCATGCTCACCAGACGCTTCAGCGACCACTGCCATCAGGACAGAAGTGTTTCATCACACGATAAAGATGAACACTCAGTGACTCTTCCCTCTGAGGGAACAAGTGGACCCAAATAATGCCACCAGAACGCCCCCCACAGCCTGACAGAACCACCAGACCGCCTCGCCGTAGGGTCATATGTGTCGTCTCTGTTTATCATGGGTCTGGACAGACATGGATGTGAACCGGTTTACAGAGACATGAACCCAACAGTTGTAGGTTTTGCTGCATTTTAAAGGAACTTTTGAGTCATTTAATAATTTTATGACTCATTCCAGTCGTGTCCTTGTCTTGACTTTGGCGCCCATCAGGTGTGGCGTTGGCGTCCAGAACGGGCAACCTGAACCCCTCAGAGATCATCACGCCCACCACGCCCACCTCCAGCAGCCACAGCCGCCTGGGTGGAGCCCCCACCCCTCACCTCATCTCAGGGTTAGCCGGCGGACACGGCATGGAGCCCGGGAAGAACCACGGGGGCTTCGTGGGGCTCCTCGGTCCTCCTCCCAAGGAGGAGCGGGGCCGTAAAAAGATCAAGGCGGAGAACGGATCCTCTCTTCTGGTGGTGCCCTACCCGATCCTGGCCTCCGGCAACGACCAGTCCTGCGTCACCATCACTGCAAAGGAGGGAAAAACCTACAGGTAAGAAATGAGCGTCTGTTTTTTATCCGGCTGCTCCTATTGGCTGTTGAACATTTGCTCTGAGAACCAAGGGGGCTCCGACTCGTCGCTTGTTTTCAGGTAAACAGTGGTTCAGGGTTAAAGTGGAAACTGCAGTAAATCTACAGAGTAAAATAAAACAGTTGTAACAATGACAGCATAAAGAGGAGGTTTGTCAGCTGGGATAGGCTCCGCCCCCCATGACCCTGGTGAGGATGAAGGTGTAGAGATGATGGATGGAGTTTCATATGAGTCATTTGTGTCAGAACCACCAGTATAGACATTTTTGACATTTAAAAGTGAACAGATGTGCAAAGAGGAAGCAAAGGTCTGAAAATGAGGACCACACTTTGTATTGTTCAGTGTTTCTGCTGGAAGCTTCTCGGTTTCTCCCACGCTGGCTGTTCATCCACTCGTCTGTTCTCTGTGCAGCTGCTTCATGTGCTTCTTTCTCTCTGTGTCGCTGCTTCCTCCATGCAGGTGTAAAGTTTGTCCGCTGACCTTCTTCTCCAAGTCCGACATGCAGATACACTCCAAAACGCACACGGAGGCGAAGGCCCACAAGTGTCCTCACTGCACCAGGACCTTTGCCAACGCCTCCTACCTGGCCCAGCACCTGCGCATTCACCTGGGCATCAAACCGTACCGCTGTTCCTACTGTGAGAAATGTTTCCGCCAGCTCTCCCACCTGCAGCAGCACACCAGGTCCGACTCAGAAGCAGCTCCAGTGTGTTTGTGATGTCTGGTTTTCTCACCGTTATCCACCAAAACTAAACGTGTTTAGTTGTTTGTTAAATTTATTTGCTCTTGAGGTGAACTGAGCCGTTAAATGTTGATCAGGCTGTAGCAGCAGGAGCTTCCAGAGCTTGGTCATTTACTCCATTTGTACTTTCCTGGTTTAGTCTTTGCAGATAAAGTTCCCCTCAAAAAGAATTAAATGTCCAACACTAGAACAAACTTTTAGCATCAAAACTACATTTTAGGGATTTGTTTTGGATTCCTCTGAGAATTCTTTCACAACAATGTGGTTTCTGCCTGCTCTTGTCCTGTTATCTCCCCATCGTGTTGATGTCTGGCCTGGTTCAAGTCCGTCCTCTTGTTGCGTTTCAGAATCCACACAGGCGATCGGCCGTATAAATGCGCTCATCCAGGATGTGAAAAAGCTTTTACTCAACTTTCTAATCTGCAGGTAATCATGAGCTGTGTTCCCTCCGTCCTACTGTGAGGTAAAGTCTTCTGCCTTCTCATCACTCCTCTGTGTGTTTTCTTCTCCTCTTTCCTGCTCAAGTCTCACCAGAGGCAACACAACAAAGACAAGCCCTTCAAATGCTCCAACTGCTACCGTGCCTACTCAGACTCTGCCTCGCTGCAGATCCACCTGTCCGCACACGCCATCAAAAACGCCAAGGCGTACTGCTGCAGCATGTGCGGCCGGGCCTACACCTCAGTGAGTTCAACGTCCAAGTCCAGACGCATCTTTACCATCTGAACACATCTAAAGGTGTCGCTTTGCTCTTGTTCCTTGCAGGAGACGTACCTTATGAAGCACATGTCCAAACACGCGCTGGTGGAGCACGTGGTGTCCCATCACTCCCCCCAGCACAGGACAGAGTCTCCCGCCATCCCTATACGCATCTCCCTCATCTGAGCTCCTCGCCGGCTCCTGCCCTCCCGCCAGAGACGTTTCCCTGTGACACCGCCGCCGCCGACGGACCACGCGACCCGGGTTCCAAAAAATGTGCCAGATTGCCAGTATTTTGTGAAGAGGTGCTCTTTTGACGAGCGTGCCCTCCCTTCGTTTTTTGCTGACCAGATAGTATTATGGGGGACATCCAAAGATGATTTCTCAGCACTTTGAGGCCTGAACGTGAAAGGCCTACCATTTCTTTTTCTATGTGACTTCACAGAAGAAAAGTATTGCTCCAGGCAGCTACATGGAAAAACCTTTTTGGACTTTTTTTTTGTGTTCCACAGATTAATTTGTCTTTTTGATACGGTCTTTTACTTTCTTTAGTCAAGTCTTTGCAAAAAAAAAAAAAAAGCAAACTATTCGCATCAGAACTAGTCTTCCATTAGCTGGGTGGCCACGTCAACATAACGGTGAATGCTTCTATAACGTGTACTCATGTGTATTGTGCCACTTCCCATGTCAGTGTTTCATCAGTCGTGCGGCCATAAATGCACACATTCATCATATTTCAGCGTTTGTATTCCTGCAGTTTCCTGTCGCCGACCACAGTCCGACCAGGACGGGCGACTCGTCATCAGATGGATGGATGTGTTTTCATGTCTGTATATTATTTTGCAGTGTTAGAAAGGTGTGTTCAAGGCATTCCCTAAGTTCCAAATCTGTTCTGCTAAAGTTTTAAATTTAACTTGAGGCCAGCGCTCCTGATTTGAAGTGTGTCAGACCGAGACAGTCAGTGGACCTGGAAGCCGCTGAAGACTGGATTGAAGCTGTGACTCAGTGAATGTGAGCGTCTGCATTCAGTAAAGTGTTGCAGGTTAAACAGAAACGTGTTTTCTAAAGTTCAGTTAAGACTAAAATGATGTTGACTGAGAGTCGTTTGTTTTGCCAAATTCATATTTATGGTTTTATTTTTTTCGTCCGTTCATTTATTTGATGAGATGCACAAATAAATGAAGACCTGCTGCCCCAGACGGTCCAGACCAACATGAACAACAAGCTTCCTCCTTTTGTTTCCAGCTCTCATGTGTAATGGAAGAACCGACCATTCTGAATCTTGTTTTCCATTTGATTTATGAGTTCATATTTGTTCCATTTTATATGCATATAGGCCTTAACTTTGTTACGACTCTAGGGTTCATTCTGTTGTTTACTTTTACATTTGCCTTTTATGTCATGGCATGATATATACTGTAAATAAACTATATCGACTGTCGACCCGTTTTATAATAAATAGTTCTATCATTTCAGATTTCTTCTTAGTTTTCCTGGACGCACATAAACAAAGAACATTAAGTTGAGCAGCATGCAGTTCTTACTATAAAATGTCACTCGGGCCCAACACCTTTCCATGGTGCCACAGACGTGGGCTCACGGCCACAGGTGTTGGATTGGGTTATCCAACACCTGTGGCACCGTGGTACCGGTGTGCCACCCAACACTGTGGCGCAGTGCCACAGGTGTTGGACCGAGCTACCCAACACCTGTGGCACTCTGGGACAGGTGTTGGGAAATCAAGAAGAGAATGTTTATAAGGAAATGTGGCTCAAAGCTACGGACTTGTCACATCCTGTTTTTCAACTTATTGTGGACTGAAGCTACAAACAGGTTTAGAGCAGCCATAGAGGAAGTGTTTGTG